ATGTCAGCATATTGTATACCTAAAATGTACCAATAAAATTAGCGAATGAAGAAAAAAAGAAGTCCTCAATATCCCCTAGTTTCCTAAAATAAAGAGAATTACAATAAAGATTTGTGGACTCTAACCTTTTTTTTTCAGTTTAAACTAATGGCACTGGGTTCTCTTATACTTGGAAGGTAGGCATAGGTAAGCAACAACAGAAAAAGACTAATAGATTTAAATCATGGAGCAACTACATCAGTTTCAATAATCATTCAAAGAATTGTGGACTGTTTTTGCAGTATCTTGGTTAGCAGGCCTTGTGCACCGCACTAGAAAAAAATGTTTCCTAATACTAAATGTTGGTAAACCTTTTCATGTAAAAGTCATAGTAGTAATAATAATGAGGATAATAATGATGTATGTAATCTCTACTGGCTGCCAAGCACTGTCAGTATGCTGTAAGTGTGATCTGAGAGTAGAATTTTTTATTTAAGAAGACTGAAATGCATAAAGATTAATAAACTCGACCAAGTTGCGCTAGTAATGAGCAGAGCAAAAGTTTAAACTTAAACCATCTTTCCCATACCTGTGAGTATGCAAACAGCTCACTAATTGCAGCTGTCTGTGGTATCTTTGCCCTCTTGATGAATGTGAAACCACAGGCAGAGAACCTGCCAATTGTTTACCAGAAAACTTTGACATTTAGTGTGGCCTCTGTGGTCTGTTTGGAACATACACTTTTTTTTTTTACTCTGAACATTATATGCAAAAAAAAAAAAAGAAAACTTGCTCAAAATTTTAGCAGCTATAACATCAAAATCTTTATGTACTACTCTGTTATAAACATAAGAATTTATTAAGTTTGAATCTAAATTGTTAAAATTTTAACTTCATTTGAACATGACTGATTTTCCCTGTTAGAATTATGACAATATTCATATTCTCTTCGTTGTTGATTCTGGTAGTTTGGAAACGTGTAGGATAGCCTGTGGTGTGAGTCATAGATTAGTGCACACAGTATTTCTTTACTTTTTTTTCTTTAAGTTTATTGGTACATTTTAGGTATACAATACAGTTACATTCTTCATTGGGATTTTGTACCTTTACATGACGATCTTGGTTCTTATTTTTTTCCCAATTCCCCTGCCCTCCCTTCACCCCCTCTACCCTTCCTATTTCTCTACTCTTTTTCACCTCTCCATAAGGCTTGACACTCTCATGCAGTTTGTCCTTTATTCTCTTTCCCCTTGTCTCTATTCCCCTCTAATAAACTTCTTTCTTCCCTCTCACTTTTGAATTTTCTTCCTTCCTTAGTCACATGTAAGTTACTTGAAAGCTGCTTGGGCTTTCAACTTCTAATTATTTGTTACTTTTATTTGGATTTTGGCACACCAGCGTTCATGTTGCAAAATACTCTTGAAGTCCTGGCAGAAGACATGTTGCTTCATTATATAGCTTTTGCTGTGTACTATAAAGAAAGGTCATTTTATTTTAAATACTCACTCATGTATGATAACAAAGACACTAATTCTACTGGTGGTGCAAAAAACGTAGCTGACTGTTGCTTCCAGAGTCTTCAGGTCCCGTCATGTCCTAGTTGTGACCTCTGCAATACATTTCAGAGAGTAATAAACTATTCCTGCCCTTGATTAGGATTCACTGCAACATCTGTAGATGTTAAGACAACCTTAACCTTGTGCAACCAATGATTCCAGGCTAGATGCCAAATATGTGGTTGTTATTTATGTGCTGATTCCTTTCCCTAGAGCTCTGGGCTGTGTAAGACTCTCCCCACAAAATCCGTATGTCCCCTCTTGTTTTTCTCCATGCCCCAGCACTACAGTATCGAAATGGCTGGAAAAGAGGCTTTAGACAATTTAATATCCTAAGTGGTATCTTTTTTAATATAAAGGGATTCTTTCATAAAATGTTAAAATACATTTAAAACTCATTGATAGTGTTGTAATATGCCGTTATGGATTCTAAGCAATGTCTCTTTTATAGGCAACATAATTACAAGTGAGTTACAAATGTAGATTTTATGACTAATTAAACTCTAGACCAAAATCCATTAAAAATAGATTACACACCTTAAATTAGATATAAGCAAAAATAAATATTCTACCGGATGAAACTATCAAAATAAATAAGAAGCACCAATCTCAAATAACTTACTTACATAAAAAATTGATAACAACATAACCTAAAACATTTTCTTGGATTTTGTCAGAGAAAAAGTTCTCATACTCAATTTCATAACAATATAGACCAGGGGTATCCAGCCCACGTGCGGGGGGCGGGGAGGGGGATACAGCCCTGGGCAGCTAGCAATGTGGCTTCACAGGACCATGAACTTTCGACACGAGTCTGTGATTTTTAATGACATTTCTCATGACTCCGTGCCTGGTGCTCAAGCACGGACTATTTGGGGGCGAATGAGCTCTGTGTCCGGAGCACAGGTCACTTGCAGCGTTTACCTTGCCCTCTGCACCTACCACACTCGGTAGACTGGAGATCCCTGTGTATCGGATTTTCCATGGCTGTGGAACTGGGAGTGCAGCCCAGAGGTTCCTGACAGCAGAACTCAACCTTCCCATACCAGGCCCTGCTATTAGGCAGACGTGGAAGTTTTCCTTTTTAGTTATTAAACTTGGCCCTGTGGTGTTGTTTGTAAAATAATTTAATAATTAGTTAAAATACAAAAAAAGGAAGAATATCTACTTAGACACATTGACTATATTAGATATTTTATATGAAGCCCACGATAATTCCTCTTCCTTCAGTGTGGCCCACGCAAGCCCAAAGGTTGTACATCCTATGAATCTAAATACACCTTACTTCATTCTACTCCAAGAATATTTTTTAAAATATCTCCCAAGCACGAGAGACTGGAAGAAGTTCTTTTTTAGTAACCAGAATGTGTACAGTGGACCCCCGAAATTCACAGGGGTTATGTTCCTAGAGCACCCTCGAATTGTGAAAAACAGCAGATTTTAGATGTGGTCAGAAAAATGCCTATAAATGGCCATTTTTATAGTTTAAACCCTAATTATGCTATGTCTCCTGCAGTTATGTAATTTAATTTAATAAAATACTGTATTAATAAACCCTTAGAAAGTGCAGAGCGTTTTGGTGGGATCTTAGGCTTTAAGAAGATCAAAACTGAGAACACTGGAGATAGCACACGTGGTACAGCAACCTGTTACGATGCGGAAATGCTGATGCATCTGCCTGCCGAGATGGTTACATGGCAGCAGCCAATCAGGGGCAAGGAGAACTAAATAACGCTCTCGGATTGGCTACTTGGAAACTTCCCACCAAAATAACAATTGCGGAGAATATTTTGTAGTGTTGACAAAATTGTCGGGGTTTCCAACAAGAATTACTAGTTAGGTACTAAGGGAAAACCCGAGAAGGACTGAGACCATGAACCCTGAATCTTGACTTTGCAGGCATATAATATGTGAATAATAAGCTCAAAAGTAATATAAGAAAAGGAAAAACTGGAAACAAAGTCTTTGTAAATAGGGAAGGATGGAGGGGGTGAAGTAAATAGGGAAGCGTGGAGGGGGTGAAGGGAGGACCGGGAAGGAGAACAAAATAAGAACCAAGATACATCATGTATAGGTACAAGTACCCAATGATAAATGTAAATGTATTGTATACCTAAAATGTACCAATAAAAGAATTTAAGGGGGTGGGGGGGAAGTAATTATAGGGAATTGATTTTGTAAGAATAAAATAAAATGACTGAAAATTAATTTGAAACAAACTGAAAAGTCAGCATCATTGTGTAATGCTAATCTGAGCAGATCTTAAAATAAAGTCCAGCAGGATGGTGACCCCTCAGTTTCCATCCTCATTATACTCATTACTGAACTGCTCTGTCTGTAACTTTCAAATGCTAAATGATTTGCCTAATGTAAAAGGAGCTTGTTGCATATTCTATCAGCAGCATTCAGTTCTACCTGGTCCTCACGTCATCCTTCAGCTCTCTCTTGCTTCTCTAGTACAGAATGAAGGAGTGGGGATTATTCAAGTTTCCATTTAGTACCTCTGACCTGAGCAAGGGCAGGATGAAGCAGAGGAAAAACCTGACACAAAGAAAAAATGTTTCCTAGCCAGAGTACCCTGGGGTGCAGAGAAAGGTAAAAGCAAGCAGTATTTCAAATAGAAGTTGAGGAACAAATCCAAACAAAAGCATGGGAAAGTATTATGTTAAAGGAAAATGAGATAAGTTACCACAGGTACTTTAAGAATTCCAAGTGATTCTGACATTTCTAGGAGAAGGTAACATGGCTGAGAGTAACATTTAAAGGCAGCACCAAAAAGAACTTCTCATCGGGAACCTGATGGAACACACATGGGCACCTGCAGTCCCCACAGGGCACTAATGAAACATTCTTACAAAGGAAAGAGAAGCAAAGTGAGTTATTCTCTATTATGTTTTCTACTGTGAAGTTTGCAGGAGGAGAGGCTGATAGTTTAACACCCTGGAGGAAACATAAGTGCTATTAATTTAGAGAAAACAAGTAGCAGTAAGTCATGGACATTTAGACTTAGGCTGGGATGTAGCTCCATGGTACAGCACTCGCCAACATGGGAAAGACCCTGGTTTTGATTCTTAGCACTGTGGAGGGAGGCAGAGAAAGAGGGAAAGGGAAGGGGGAGGGGAGAGGAGGGGGAGGGGAGGGGGAAGAGAGAGGGAAATTGGAAGAGGGAGGAGGGGAGTAGGGAAAGAGGAAGAGGGAGGGAGGACGGAGGAAGAGAGAGGAAAAGGGAAAGAAGGAAGGAAAGAAGGAAGATGATGAAATAAAGAGATTGTACTACTCATTCCATTTAACAGAAAGTCCTGAAAAAAGAAATGCATTTAAAACATAGGTTGAAGAAAATAACTTTTTGAGGGAAGCATAATGTACTTAGAAATGTAATAAAATCTTTTGGGTGTTCTTTCTAGTTCTCTTCAGTTTTCACCATGAACTGCGGTTTGTGGAAAGTAAAATCAACCTAGGCCTTACCGCCTCCACCTCTGCAGGGTCGTACCAAACGTTGATGTAGGGGTGCTGTAAGGCGTCGTCCACAGATATCCTTTTGGCTGGGTCAATCACTAGCATCTTTGACAACAAATCCCGGGCTTGGCTGGCTGAAACCATAAATGAGAAAAATAATTAGTAAGATTTTTATTTCAGCAAGGGACTTTGTTGGATGGGGAAGAAACTTTAAAAAACAAATAATTAGCTACTAGTTTCTAAACATCGGAAAAATTCTTAATGTGCTGAAAAAGGAAATGCATTTTACATGTCTTTATGTGTCTTAAAGCCTCAAAGTGTCATTTGGGGTCCACTGGGGGTTACGACGCTCTGAGTGAGTACAGTTGTTCACGTGGTTTTCTATACGACCCCTATCAACCCAGAGCTTATCTGAGCAAGGCAATCTGATTGGGTAATCTCCAAGAACATAGGCGGAAGAGAAATACAAACTCGTGATGCTTCACAAGTGTAGGGATGGCCGTTTGGAGCTAAATCAATGTATGCGCTTTCATATTCTTATTCATACAATGGCATTATCAGGATTTGAGTAGAATCAGCACTGATTTAAGGGCTCATATAATCCAAACCTTATAATCATATAAACAATCTGAAGTGCAGATGTGAAAGAAATTACATCATTCAACTACTAAACTTCATTTTAACATTCTGTAATTATTAGACATCTTAAATCAAGAGAATCATGCTTGGTAAAATCCAAAAGTTAGTGGCTAAAGCCATCCCAAAGCTACATCTGCTAGGTGGTAATGAAATACTCTATATCCTGTTCATGTTGCCATGATTAATTTTATGGTGTGGGTGGTACTAGTTATAAAATTATATGGTAATAATAAGCAAGCTTATTTATCTAATAACACCGTTAAAAGACAAATTAATTTTTCATCTCTAAAATGTAATATTTTGCATAAACTAGCTTTAACCAAAATTTTAAAATATGAGTATTTTAAACCAATACTGCTATTCAGCTGATCTGAAAGGCTAACAGTGAAAATATTTAGTATATTCTAAATATATGGTAAGACTTCAAATTTAGAGAGCAGAACCTCAATTAATTTCAGAAAAAGTCAACATAAAATATAAAAATCAGGAAATATCAACTATTTCAAATTAGAGGTATATTTTTTCTAGTGTAAATTTTTCATATAATTATTTTCTGTTCAGTTATTTTTCACATAATTTTGACAATACTAGGGTTGAAATATAGCAAACTATTTTTTCACCTATCCTATAAGTATTTTGTGTTTTTGCATTTACCTTCTAATGTTTTGTACTAACATGAAAAATCATTAGTTAAGTCAGACTTTGGGACATTTTATTTCTATTGACTACATTTCTGGCAAACTCAGTCATAAAAATTGATAAGTATCATTTCCAAATAAAATTTTGAAGTTCACAAGGGTAATAAAAATAATTATATAGTAATTCAAAATTAAACCTTTCTAATTACCTGTAGCCTTCTAATAGCCTAAGAAGACTGTGTTTTTATGTCACTAGTTCAAAGATCTTTGTTTTATGCCAGAGTTGACACTCAGGTTCTCCAGCCACACCCATCTGTATGTCTCTTCTTAGAAAGTGCAGGGCTGGAATGGGTGCTTCCCACTTGCTAATGTCAAAGCATCTCACCAAGAAGCAATAATCCGTACCTCATGTATGAAATAAAGTGGTGAAAAGGGTCCAATGCTTGATCTTTCCTTTTTGAGCAAAGCTGTTATACTCTTTTCCAAATACAGTAGAGTGAATTCTCCCCACTATTTATTGGTATATTATGAGTCCTCATAATGTGCCAATTGTATGTAAAAATTAAAATTAAATAATCATAAATATACAAACTATTTTTTAATTTATGAAAATAATTGTAATTGGAGAGGTTCCAACTAAACTCAAGAAAATTGAGATTACATTGTGATTTTATATTAAAATATAATACTAGTTTTTGCTACAAGTGTTGTCATTATTATTTAATAGTTTGATGAGGGCTTTGCTGTCTCTATCTTGTTACACTACAAATATCTTTTTGAGAAGGGATTACTTTTCCTTAATATCTCAATTAGGAAGGCATAAATGCTAAAATATCTCTACTTGGAGTATGACCTTTTTTCCAATCTGTATATTTATAATGATGATCTTAAAAACAAAAGCTTTTATAATAATTTAGTTCATTGCCATTCACAGAATCTATAGAGGCAGGAGAAGGAGAAATCCAACTGTCCAATGTACGAATCAAGACCACAGAAACAATGTGATAACTCCAGACACAACAGCAGAAAGAAGCATTTATTATGAAAGTGCTTATGTTGAATAAAAATCTCATTTACTATTCTAAGTTTTAAAAATAGGTGGTTAAGCAGTCCACAAAATACAAGTAAAAGAAACTCAAACACTTGCATCTCCAAGATTGTACAACTGAAAACTTGTGTTGAAAATATTTTCTAGGTAGTAAAAAGGAGTAAAACAATGATTTAATGTATATCACATTGATCTTTTAAAGATACACTTCAAAAAATAATTTTAAGATTCAAAATAAACCCCCACGAAATAGCTAAATTACACCATTGTCCCATACTTTATTCTTTTCCTTCCCTCTGAGGGTCTACACAATTATAAACCCCTAAGCCACCCCTCTTGGTAAGAAAGCTCTTTTAAGAAATACCTCTGCTTATCTTGAAGTAGTTTCAGTTAAAGAAAGATCTCTGGATCACACATTTTTTACCCTATTGATTTTGTGGTGTTCTGGCGTTGCCCGCAGGCGCGTACCTTTAAGTTTATTGTGCTCAGAGTCCGCTGGGAAGAGGGAGTCTGGAAAGAGCTTGGGAAAGGTGAGTCCAGCATACTTTGGCCGATTCTCCACATAGTTTCTTACTGTGGGCTGCAATTTCTTCATGAATTCTGGACATGGTGTTCCTAGTTGCTCAATGACTTTATTCCACTGGTCAATATCTGAGAATTGAATAGTTAAGGCAAAAAAAAAAAAAAAGTGCAGGCTACGAGCTCTTCTCTTTCAATAATCAGGAAGCTAAATCTTCTCAGAATCCCAAAATTATCAATACAACTGGAGTTTAATAAGTAACATAAAACAAAAATATAAAATCAGAATTGTTAGGCAAAGAATTGTTGGAATTTTAAATCTATTTTTGTAACAAACACTTTTGGAGAGCTAGCATTATTTAACAAACACAAGATTATGATATAGTCTTTGGTTTGTAAAGATAAAAAGTTATCCAAATAACACAATAAGAATCACATTGAACTAACTTTCTATAAAATTATAAGAATTTTTGAAAAGATATTTCATAGTGACATTTTTATCCTGAAGTTACTGTAATCATATTTTAAAATATCATGTATACATTAAATACTTATTTACATTTTTCCTAAATTACCTTTCAGATTTTTTTCTCTTTTCAAAAAATTAGGAAATTCCATTACTAATTAATGTTTTCTACTTATACATATTACATATAGAATCAATATAATTTTGGATTTTTTTATTTTTTCTATTGACATGTAAAAACTACATATATTTACTGGGAACTATGTAGTATTTTGTTGCTCATATATATTGTGTAACATGCAAATCAGGGTAAGCCTCTTTTTGGCGAAAAAGTGCTAAATCTCTTCTTCTAGCTTTTCTGGAATAGTCATTCTATAAGCGATAAAACACCTGAGTTTACTTTTTCTAACTGTAACTTAGGTAACCCTTGACCTGGTACTCATCTTTTCCTCCCACTTCCTTCCCAGGGTCAGGTAACTGACTAAGACTCTCCTGGGATCTACCATCTACATTTCACCATAGTCTTACATATAATCAATACCACCCTTGGAAAATCTCAACCAGCTGCAAGCAGTGGATTTCAAACAGATTTCCTTACCATGCATCAGTGAATGAGAGAGGTCTTGGAAATTTGTCGTGGGTTCAACGTTACAAGCAGTAATTCTTCTACAAATCTACATCATTGATTCTTCTACAACTCTATTCTTTACTATTAACTCATTTCTACTAACTTATGACAGTTGAAAAGCTCTAACCATAATACTAATTAACTGAGCTTTTTAAAGTCTTTACTCCCAGCTTTCAAGAAATTTAAACTAAGAAAAATTGGCAGTCCTGAGGAGAGACAAAATGACTACATTTAACCTCAATAAATATAAAATGCAAATAGTAGATGGGAGACTGAAGAAAGATAAATTCAGGTTAATCTGTAAATCTTTTTCTACCTTCCTTAAAACTTAACTGAATAAGATTTAAATTACTATATACACTCCCAGTTATTATAATGAAAAAGGTACATATATAATAATGAACTATCAAGAAATGACATGCAGGTGGGAAAAATTGAAGAATATTCCCTTACAAGACACCAGCAATTGTGCTAGCTTTGGCAGAACATATACAAGACATCAGCAATAATTAAACAAGAACATTCTTCATTAAAAGTTCATTGAAGTTATTATGTGCATGAGAATAGAGGAGTAAGTTAAAGTCATTAGAAATAGAAGAAATTAAAACATATAAGGTTAGATTTGCAAGTCACTCTTAAAAACTCATGAAAAGTCCATGGTTATAGGTAAGCTATAACTATTTAGATATATTTAAATAGTTAAGCATTTATGATGCTAAGATTCAAATGCTTATCCTTATAAATTAGAAAAAGAGGCATATTCTGTAAAACAGGTTATCATGCCTTATGGAGCCATCATGTAATTATTGGTCAAACTTGCTCAGAACCCTAAAGATTTGATATCAAACTTAACACAGAGACAAAGAAGCTGTTGGATTTTCTACAAATGAGTCATTTTAAAAAGGTGGCAAAATATTTCTAGCACCTGATTATATTTTAATTACATTTAGCTAGAATTATAACATTATTCAATACAGATTTAGGTGCCTTTAAAATAGCATTCCCAAAATAATGGTATATCAAGGTAAAATTTGAGGAGAGTCTGATATTTTGGAATTTGTTAAATAAGAACAGTTTATAGGTCATAATCAGAGACTGTAGAAGCATATAGTGTATTTTTCTACTTGGAATGCTTTTGAATAAGCCACTATCATGGACCTTGATAACATTAGATATATATTTTAAAAAGAAAAGCCAAACTTATTTTTGGAAAAGCATTTATTTGCTTTAGAACATCCATAAGTCATCACTTTTATATATTAGGATATATTAAGGACTAGCCTATGCAATTGTCAATAAAAAACAATGAATGCATGGGTTATTGTATTTTTGATCTGCTATTTCAGAAAGTATTGCCTTTAACATAAATTATGAAAGGCAATGAATAAAATGAGAAAATGGCATTTAATAAGAATTGATAGTAAATTTCCTCATTCTAAATTCACTGTATAAAAAATAGTTACACTGTAAAAAGTTTGATTTCATGAGTATGATAACAAAGCAATTTGCAAATGTGGTTGAATATTACTAAAATATTCAACAAATAACATTATAATTTATTAGAGAATAAAAACATACATGGATAGTAAAAATTAGTATGTGAAATCCCCAGACTGAAAATTATTCCTGTTAATATCAACTAGCTAAGCACTTACATTTCAAACACTTCTCTTGACCTAGCTTCCCTGGTTGGTTTGAACAAAATATATGAAAAATACCTCATCCCTTGCTGAGTATATTGGTTATAATTATGAATGTAATTTATGCTATGCACACTTAAGCTTTCAGATGCTACTAAGTGGAACCTTAAAGAGCTAATGACCTCATTCCATGATGCCCTTTGAATTAATATATCTATCTCTTTTTATGTTTTCTCCCATCATTGATTGCTTTTTTGTTATTAGGAATATGATTTCCAGTGCTAGCACCCTCCCTCATGGCATCTGACTTGCTTTCTATTCTGTTTTAGGTCTGTGCTCAATCTTCTGCAAAAAAATTTTGTGACCTCTATTTGCACCTTAAAGAGTAACAGCAGTTGTCCCCAAATTTGCAGCTATTTCCTAAAAATAAGATTGCCTTATCTTAGCAACATCTATATAGAATAGTTCCAGCAAAGGCTGTTTTCTCTCATAAGTCAACCAATTGCCTCGGCACTGTGTTGAGCGTGAGCCCTCTAGGAAAGGGTGCTATGATAAATCACTGTCTGCAGTGGAAATGTGTTAGAAAATAGAATGTATTAAGCACTGGGATATAAAACCATGGTTCCCAAACCTGAATATTCATAACGAGGGAAACTTACAAAAATACAGACCTTTTTCTACTCCCTATTGATTTATAGGATAGTGCATCCATAGGTCTCTGATGATATAAAAACATCAATGATAACTGTAATCCAGATGACCCTTGGACCATATCTTGAGAAGTATTAATGTAGAATGTACTAACAGTCTTTTAGGAGTTACTAAGTCAAGATGTAAGAATAAAACATATGTTGCAGTTTTCTAACATAAATTAGAAATCTGCCCAATATAAAGTAGAAAATATTAGTTTATTTTGGTAATTATATTTCTTCTTAATAAAATTTATTCTTAAAAGAACTTTTACTTTTGAAGAAAATTGTAAGATCAAGATAGACATATATGTAATAGACATATATATATACACAGTACATATATACTTGTATCTACATATATTTGTATAAAATATACTACACAAATTATAAATATATACCCAGTGTGTGTGTGTGTGTGTGTGTGTGTGTGTGTGTGTGTGTATGACAGAGTTCTGTATCTATATTTTCATGTTAGTGTTTTGAACTGTTTTGTTCCTTTAGAAATGTTTTCTTCCCTTGAAATGGGGCATGGGCAATGGGGCATGCATAGAGCACATGCCTAGCATGTCTGAGGCTACCTGGGTTAGATCCCCAGCAATACAAAAAAGTTCTTATTGGGCTGGAGATTTAGCTTAGTGTTTCACTGCCTGCTGTGCAAGCGCCAGGACTCAAGTTTGATCCCCGGTACCAAAAAAAAAAGTTCTTACTTTGTTTTTCATTTAAAAATGTCCTCTTCTTCTCACAAATACCCCTCAAGTTCTGATAACATAAAATATGAGTAAGTGACTTACTCCACAATTAACTAACATCTGTTTGTACTATGAATGAGCACAGGAAACGGAAATATCAGAAGCCAGATTACATAAAAACGTCAAAGCTGACAAATTGAGGAAAAGGCTATTTGTTCCCCGACAGCCAAATGCTAGTGGGATTCTGTAGGACACGGAATATCCAAAGGCTTTGAAGCATGAGGCATATGGGCCTTGCTATAATTTATCTTGTCTTATAAAGCTATTTACTATTTTAATGTATGTTACAAATCAAAAAGCTGGAAGACATTTGATATTTTCCAGTACGTACTAATATGAGTGACAGAGGCAAATTTTTCACAAAGCTATTGAGGTTAATTTTAGGGGCCTCTCATTTGTACTTTATGTTTAATTTTGAATTTGGACCATTAATTTTCTGTTGTAAACGGCACTCTCATCTAATTGTATGATATTCTGATTTCTCAAATGGTGGATCTGACTAGCATTTTGAAACTGAGAAGTAGCCTTGGAGGTGAAGTTTGGCATGTATTTTAGAGCTGAAAAATATGAAAGGTTTTTTCCAATTGGTGAATAGCATTACTTTAAATAAAGGAGTTCATACAAATCACCTACACTAACAGAAATATAGGATCTATTTAAGAGGCATTATAGAGTCCCTATGTGCCCGATGCTGTAAAGTTGCTGGAAAGTTGCATTCATCTCTGGGTATAACTCTATACACAATAGAGGTTAAGAAAGGACAGTCAAACTTATATAAGGTCAGTAAAACAACCAAAAGAGGCATATTTAAAAGAACTTTTGATGTTTAAACTTAAAAAGAAAGGAGGCAATTCCTGCCTTCTGTTTTAGCACTTTAATCCTTTGTATCTTATAGTTGTTACCATCCCCTAATATATTGTTCCTTTAACTGCAAATTTCTTGATGATCAGAAGGGTT